AGGTGTTGAATATGTAAAAATAAATAAAGGTCAGACACACCAAAAAAGTACAGGCAAACACAGAATTAACAGAGCACCAACAAAAATGAAAACACATAAATATATAAATGAAAAGGAAACAAAATAACCCCATAGTAGTCCTACAACAGAGATAAACTCTCATATATCAATAATCAACTTGAACATGAATGGACTAAATGTACCACTGAAGAGGCAAAGAGTGGAAAACTGGATGAAAACACATGATCCAACAATCTGCTGCCTCCAGGAAACTCACCTCACTGCAAAAGACACACACAGACTCAAGGTTGGAGGCTGGAAAATGACCTTTCAAGTGAGTGGAAAACAGAAGAAAGCAGGCTTAGCTATTCTAATATCTGACAAAGTGGTCATTAAGTCATCAATAATTAAAAAGGATACTACATAATGATAAAAGGCTCAATCCACCAGCAAGATATATCCATCCTAAACATATATGCACCTAACACAGGAGCACTAGGTTTCAACACAGGAGTACTAGGTTTCATAAGACAGCTACTAAGCAAACTAAAGGAGAACATTGACTCTCACACAATCATAGTAGGAGACCCAAATATACCACTAACAGCTTTAGATAGATCATCAAGGCAAAAAACCAACAGGGAGATTCAAAACCTCAACTCAATACTTGATCAAATGGACTTAATAGACATCTACAGAACACTTCACCCAATAAATACAGAGTATATTTTCTACTCATCAGCACATGGAACATACTCCAAGATCAATCACATTCTCAGGCATAAATTAAACATGAACAAATTTCAAAAGATTGAAATAATACATTGCATCTTCTCATATCACAGTAGAATAAAAAGAAATATCACCAACAAGATCCCTCTAAAACACACAGAGACATGGATTCCAAACAACATGCTGTTGAATGACTTCTAGGTCAACATGGAAATAAAGACAGAAATAAAAAGATTCCTGGAAATGAGTAAAACAAAAACACACCTTATCAGAATCTCTGAGATGCTATGAAAACAGTGTTAAGAGGAAAATTCATAGCATTGCATGTACAATTCAAGAAAACAGAAAGAACACAAGGAGACAGGCTAACGTCACATCTAAGGGAGTTGGAAAAGCAAGATCAGTTAAATCCTAACCTCAGCAGAAGAATCCAGATCACCAAAATAAAATCAGAGTTACAGGACATAGAAGGCAAAAAAATCATTAGAAAGGATCAACAAGACCAAAAATTGGTTCTTTGAAAGGATAAATTAGATTGACAGTCCCCTGGCCAGATTGACCAAAGGAGAGGGAGAGAGAGAGAAAGAGAGAGAGAGAGAGAGAGAGAGAGAGAGAGAGAGAAATCCCAGATAAACACAATTAGAAATACAAAAGGAAAAGTCACAACTGACCCTGAAGAAATTCAAAAGATTATCAGAGATTATTACAAAAACCTGTATTCAAATAAACTAAAAAACTTAAAGGAAAGGGAGCACTTTCTAATATCACACAACCTCCCAAGATTGAAACAAGGAGAAATTGAAACTCTAAACAGATCAATAACAGTCCAGGAAATTGACTCAGTCATAAAACTCTACCTACCAAAAAAAAAAAAAAGCTGTGAACTCAGTGGTTTCCCAGCTGAATTTTATAAAATATACAAGGATGAGTCAGGCTCGGTGGCTCTGCCTGTAATCCCGGGAGGCTGAGGTGAGTGGATTGCCTGAGCCCGCTGGTTTGAGACCTGACTGGGCAGCAAGACCTCAACTCTACAATAAACCAAAAAATCAGCCGGGTGTGGTAGCGCACGCCTGTAATTCTGGCTACTCGGAAGGCTGAGGTGGAAGGATCACCGGAGCCCAGCAGGTCGAGGCTGCAGTGGCCGGGAGTGGCACTGCACTCCAGTCTGGACGACAGAGTGAGACTCCAACTCAAAAAAAACCCCAGAAAACAATACAAGGATGAATTGATACCAATCTTACTGAAAGTACTGCAGGCAATCGAGAAAAATGGAATGCCCGCCAACTTGTTTTATGAAGCCAACATCATATTGCTACTCAAACCTGGCAAACACCCAGCAAGGAAAGAGAATTACAGGGCAATATCCTTGATGAATAGAGATATAAAGATTCTAAACAAAATTCTAGCAAACTGGAACCAACAACACATCTCAAGAATCATCCACCATGACAAAATGGACTTCATTCCTGGGATGCAGGGCTGGTTCAACATTTGCAAGACTATAAATATAATTCAGCATATCAACAGATATAAAACCAAGAACCACATGATTATATCATTAGATGCAGAAAAAGCATTCAATAAAATCCAACAACGCTCCTTGATAAAAACTCTTGAGCACCTAGGCATAGAAGGGACAGTCTTCAAAACAGTGAGAGACATCTATGATAAAACCACAGCCAACATCGTGCTTAACGGGCAGAAGTTGGAAGCTTTCCCCCGAGAATAGGAAGAAGACAAGTATGCCCACTTTCACCCCTCCTGTTCAACATAGTATTGTAATTCCTAGCCAGAGCAACAGGCAAGATAAGGAAATCACGGGTATCCAAATAGGAAAAGAGGAAGTTGTTATCCCTCTTTGAGGATGATATGATCTATACCTTGAAAACCCTAGGGAGTCAGTCAAAAGCCTCCTCACACTGATAATCAACTCTGGTAAAGCTTGGCGCACAAAATCAGTGTGCAAAAGACAGTTGCATTTCTATACACCAGCAACAAGCAGAGTGTCAAATAAAAAGCACAATTTCACTCACAATAGCCACCAAAAAAAAAGAAAAAGAAAAAGAAATACCTTTGCGTCTACCTAACCAGAGATGTGAAAGACCTCTACAACGAGAACTATGAAATGCTGCTCAAAGAAATCAAGGATGACATAAACAAATAGAAAAACATTCCATGCTCATGGATTGGAAGAATTAATATTGTCAAAATGTCCATCCTATCTAAGGCAATCTACAGATTCAATGCAATCTCCATCAAGTTCCCAACATCATTTATCTAAGACCTGGAAACAACAATGCAGAAGTTCATATGGAAATAGAAAAGAATACAAATAGCCAAAACAATCCTCAGCAAAAGGAGCAAAGTGAGGGATATCAAACTTCCAGACTTTAAATTTTACTACAAGGCTACAGTAATCAAAACACTCGTTCTTGTACAGGTACAAGAATAGGCATATAGACCAATGGAACAGGACAGAGACTCCAAAAGCAAAAACTTGATCGCTCAACCAATTCATCTTCAGCAAAGTCACTAATAACCACTGGGGAAAGGAAACCATATTTAGCAAATGGTGCTAGGGAAACTGGCTGACCACATGCAGAAGAATGAAACTGGATCCCTACCTATCACCATATACAAAAATCAACTCTAAATGGATCAAAGACCTAAAGGTAAAACCCCAAACTATAACAATCCTAGAAAAGAACATAGAAAACATCCTTATGCGCATCAGAGAAGACAACCAATTTTTTATCAAATCCCAAAAGCAAATGCCATAAAAGCTAAGATAGACAAGTGGAACTTCATCAAACTGAAAGCTTTTGTACAGCCAAAGAAACCATCAAAAGAGTGGGAAAACAACACACAGAACAGGAAAAAGTATTTGCTAACTAATTTATCTGACAAAGGCCTACCATCCAGAACCTACAAGGAACTCAAATGAGCTAAAAGGAAAAAAACAAACAACCTTATTTACAAGTGAGCAAAGGACATGAATAGACAGTTTTTAAAAGAAGATATACAAGCAACCAACAGATATATGAAAAAATGCTCATTTTCACTAATCCTCAGAGAAATGCAAATCAAAACCACAATGAGATACCACCTAAAGCCCATAAGGATGGCCATTATTAATAAATAAAAAAGAACAGATGCTAGCATGAGTGAGGAGAAAAGGGAATGTTTCTGCACTATTGGTGGGAGTCCAAGCTAGTTCAACCTCTATGGAAAGCAATGCAGTGATTTTTTTTTTTTGAGTTGGAGTCTCATTCTGTCACCCAGACTGGAGTGTAGTGGCCACTCTAGCCACCACAGCCTCAACCTACTGGGCTCAGGTGATCCTTCTACTTCAGCCTTCCAAGTAGCTGGAACTACAGGCAAGCGCTACCACGCCCAGCTAATTTTTGATTTATTGTAGAGATGAGGTCTCGCCAAGTTGTCCAGACGGGTCTCGAATCCGCAGGCTCAGGCAATCCACTCACCTCAGCCTCCCCAATGAGGGATTATAGGCTGAGCCACCAAGCCCGGCTGCAGTGATTTCTAAAAGAACTAAAAACTGACCTCCTATATGATCCAGCACTTCCTCTCCTGGGAATATACCTGGAGGAACATAAATTGTTCTACAAAAAAGACACCTGCACACTATGTTTATAGCTGTATTCACAATAGCAAAAACATGGAACCAATCCTACTGCCCATTGAAAGTGGACTAGATAAAGAAAATATGGTACATATGTACAATGGAGTAGTACGCAGTCATTAAGAAGAACAAAGAACAAAATCATGAATTTCGCAGCAAATTGGATAGAGTTGGAGGCCATCATACTTAGTGATCTATCACAGAAACAAAGAATTGAATACTGCATGCTTTCACTCATAAGTGGGACCTGAACATTAGTCACATCAGCACGAGGGAGAGATCAGCAGTAGTTTGACACTGATACGACAAAACAACACAAAAAGTATCTGGTCCTAAACCAAGGGAAGTGAGGATCACTTGGAGGCCCAAACTTCACCTGCATGCAGCCTACTTGTGTACCTAATCCTGACTTTTACCACACATCTCTATAACAAAATGCAATAAAATAAAATATTTTTAAAAAGCATAGATGGCACAGACTTTTGTGATCAGAATACATGCAGTTTGGAGAAGGACACTGCAGATTGCTGAGGGGCCACAGTCTCAGATTGCAGGACTGTGTCCAACAATTTTTTTGTTAAGATACTTTTGTATTTCCATGCAGGTCAGTTTCTCTGTAAATACTCACTTGGAGAAGATCCTGTAATACAGAACAAACACATTAGTTGTTCAGTTTAATCAAACAGATCAAATATTACAAGTAGTCATAATTAATTATTTAAAGGTTTAGTAAAAAGTCTACATTACTTAACAATAAGTCATAAAACACTGTTGACATTGCAAAGTTCAAGGGCACTTTTTAACAGCATCAGCCAGGTGCAGTGGCTCACGCCTGTAATCCCAGCACTTTGGGAGGTGGAGGTGGGAGGATTGCCTGAGTTCAGGGGTTCAAGATCAGCCTGGGCAACCTGGGGAGACCTTGTCTCTACAATAAGTCAAAAAAATTAGCTGGGCATGGTGGTGCACATCTGTAATTCCAGCTATTTGGAAGGCTGAGGCGGAAGGATCACCTGAGTCCAGCAGGTCGAGGCTACGGTGGCCATGAGTGTGCCACTGCACTCCAGCCTGGTGACAGAGTGAGACCTCCAACTCAAACAAAATAAAAAACATTGAGTGTGAACTTGTCACCATCTCATCCATCAGGATAAAGGAGAGAGTGAGTCAGCACTCAAGGAATACAGCAAGGCACTTGGTGTGGACAGGTAAGCAGAGATCTCATCTACAGGATAATCACATCAAGTGCTTCAAACACTGGAGGAGATATAACATGCCTTCTTTCTTCTTCATCAAAGAAATGAGGCCTCAATAGTAAAAATTAGTTGTATAGAGGCAAATGATCAATAATTAATAAAGCCATGTATACCAAACATTACACTCAGAAGGCTTTAAGACAAATGTGTCTAAAAAACAAGACTACTTCTGTGACCCTTAAAAATAAAATTAATATATTATTTTGAATTACAGAGAAAGTTCTAAATTATTCAAAGCTTAAGAAATGCTGATAATGGAGTAATTTCAAGTTTGAATTTTGATATATTTTGATATATTTTAAATGGAATAATTTCAAGTTTGAATTTTGATATATTCCTTTAAAATATATCAAAGGACGGCTTTTTATGAAGGGGCCTCAAAGAGGATCAACTACTTATGCAGTAGTCCAAGTACTATAGGTCAGAATTTTTTGGACCCAGTAGAATAAAATTGATATTATTTGGTCTACTATTTGTTTGGTATAGCAAAGGCACTATCAAAATTTTTGACAAATACAAGGAATTATAAAGCCTGACAAGCCATGATGTTTGTTTGCTACTCATCCGAATAAAGAAGCAAAAGGAAAACATGCTATCCCCACGTTTATCTATAACCCTAGTACTTCTGTGGGTTTTGGAACATGGCTTTCAGATGACTCATTTCCCACTATAAGGGACATCATGAGACAAGAATGTCAGATGTGGCCAGAACAATTAACCAGACCCTCAGGGGAGCCTGCACTGCTGAGCACCTCACCTGGGACTTTCTCAGAGCCTTCAGGAGCTTCTGTGTTCTGCAGTGTCTCTGCATCCTGGGGCCCTTCAAGGTCTTGGGTGGACTGAGATGACACTGACACCCTGGATGTCTTTGGGGTCCTCTTGTCTGAATCAGCTCGCTGCTGCTGCAACCACTCATCCTTATAACCATTGCTAATAAGTTTGGAAAAGTTTGTTGGTGAACTGCTTTTTTGACCAGGCCTCAAAGAGAGAAGAAAAAGTTAAGGGGAACTTAAGTACAAAGGTCAATGATAAACCAGAAGCAGTATACTATGAACATATTGATAAGTTAGATGTTTTATTGCTCATTAAAATATAACAGGCAGGGCACAGTGGCTCATGCCTATAATTCCAGCAGTTTGGAAGGCTGAGGTGTGAGGATTGCTTGAGTCCAGGGATTCAAGACCAGCCTAGGCAACATAGTGAGACCTCATCTCTACAAAAAAAAAAAAAAAAAAAATTA